ACAATCAACTTGCCTCCTTGCTTTGGAAAGAGAGTGCGTGTGTGCCGGGGCATGCAGGCAGGCCTGGAGCTTGGCTGCAGGCATGCTCCAAGATGCACCGGGCTTCTTCTCTTCCTCCTCCTTCCTTCTTGTCTTCCTCTCCAATGTGGGGATGAGTAACTGGGCAACCTGGGAAGCAGGAGGGTGAGCCCTCTATCAATTAGCCTCCTTGCCTTGGAAAGAGAGTGCACTCTGAGCCTGCCTAACTGTACGCCCTGCCACACACGCATTCTCTTTCTAAGGTAAGGAGGCAAATTGATTGAGGGCTCACCCTCCTGCTTCCCAGGTTGTTCAGTGGCCTATCCCCACATCTGGATTCCGGAAGGGGAGCAGCATCGAGGAGGAAGACAAGAAGGTGGAAAGAGGAAGAGAAGAAACATGGTGCATCCCAGAGTGCGCCTGTAGCTGAGCTCCGGGACTGCCTGCCTGCACGCCATGCCACACACGCATTGTCTTTCAGAGGCAAGGAGGCAAGTTCAGATGCACATGAAAGCAGGCTGTAGGCAGGCTTTTGTGTCAAGATTTTCTGTGGGGAAGAGGGTTCCCGTTTCGTGCTTCCAAATAAACTGAAGACACAAAATAAAAGATAGAAATGAATTTAGCGCACATCTAGTAATTATTAGTATGCAAACATGATAAAGTTTAATTTCATGCGAGAAAAAAATCCCCAGATATTAGAAGGGTGAAGCCAAGGTAATCTCAGAGCCACCAGAGCAGTAATACTCAAAAGAGTAGTCTCCAAACTCGTGCTGGTGCCCCACAAGTCATCTATTGCTGGTCTCTGGAAAATTTACAAAAAAACAAAATTGATAATTGTACCCAATGGGCAAAGTATGGTACTGGGTCTTGGCATATTGCAATTCCTCCCCCCCTCTCTGTTCCCCTACCTACATCAAGTTGCTTAAGATATCCTGCAAGCAGTCAAAATATCCTGCAACCTGATGTCATTGCAAAATACCTCCCTCCAAGACCAGTGGAATCTATGGTACTGCAATTTGATAGATTTGACAGATACCATACCAGAGATGTTCAAAGAAAGTTGCACAGCATTACATAATATAAACAGCTGAGAATAGTAACTGTTAACTATGGTTACAAAACACACACTGGTTCTTGTAATATTCTGGCATACAACCAAGAGAATCCCTGGTGCTAATGTTTTCTATTAAAAGGGCAAATTCAGATCTTAGTTTGCAGACTGTACCATTTGACCATTTTTGTGCATCACTGAACTATTTTTTGTGGAAAGTCAGCAGATATTATAGAAAGGTTACTCAGGGTCTATTAGATATGGCAATTGAGAAGTGCAGCTCCTGACATGCGGAATGCCATTAGATCAGTGAAAGGTTATCTTAGGTCGTCAGCATCTCCAGTCAGAAATAAATACTGAGAAACTTTTTTTTCACGTTTTAACGCATCACATGAGAAGGTTATGATACGAAGATTTAGTGCTGACCAGTCATTGCCCAGATACAGTGATACACAGGTGCAGTTATACTGAAATACTTGGATCTCTATTGGAAATAAAATGCTGAGTTGATATCCTTTGAAGTCACAAAAAACTATTGCTGCAACTAACATTGATCCGCCAACACCCTTTGTGAAACTGTCTGGAAAGCTAAATAAAACCTAGGTTGCTGTGAGTTTTCCGGGCTGAATGGCCATATTCCAGAAACATTCTCTCCTGACGTTTTGCCCACATCTGTGGTAGGCATCCTCAGAGATTGTGAGGTCTGTTGGAAACTAGGCAAATGGGGTTTATATACCTGTGGAATGTCCAGGGTGGGAAAAAGCACTCTTGTCTGTTTGAGGCAAATGTGGATGTTGCAACTGGCCAGCTTGATTAGCATTCAATGGCCTTGCAGCTTCAAAGCCTGGCTGCTTCCTGCCTGGGGGAATTCTTTGTTGGAATGTGTTAGCTAGCCCTGATTTTTTTTCTTGTCTGGAATTTCCTCATGTTTGGGGTATTATTAATTTACTGACCTGATTTTAGAGTTTTTTAAAATACTGGCAGCCAGATTTTGTTCATTTTAATGATTACTTCCTTTCTGTTGAAATTATTCACAAGCTTGTGGATTTCAATGGCTTCTCTGTGTAGTCTTACATGGTGGTTGTTAGAGTGGTCCAGCATTTCTGTGTTCTCAAATAATATGCTGTGTCTACATCACATGCTCAGCAGGTGCTCTGCTATGGCTGACTTCTCTGGTTGAATTAGTCTGCAGTGCCTTTCACGTTCCTTGATTTGTGTCTGGGCACCTTCCAATTCGGGAAAAAAGCCTCACCTGGGCATTAAAATATTCTATATGGAAAATACAGCAAAATGAAGAGTAGAACCTTCCAGAAATGAGGAGTAAGGTGTTATTTTGCAAGTGGGCAGGAGTAAGAAATGACATATTGAAAAAAATAACCTCTGTGGGTTCCAGTGTCCCATAAAACTGATCCTAGGGGCTGGATATGACCTGATGGTCCATCACATAATCTCAAGTTTGACCCATCTCTGCATATTTCCTTTTCCCTGTCATCCACAAACTCATAAGGAAAAAATACAATTAAAACACAGGGTGGCTAATAGTGTCTCAAATATTTTAATGTAGTTGTTCAGGAAAACATTATCTGAAAACTAAAATGATATAAAACAATTTTACAAAAATTAACATCACAGAAATCTATTGTTTGTTATTTTAGCATTAACATACCCAGAGGTATAAATGTCCATCTGATTTAGCAAGGTAAATTCTTTTCTATGAAAATTTCTCAGTTATCAAAATTACCACAATATAAACAGTAGTTAAGCTAACGTCACTTTTTGTCCTGGTTTGAAAGTTGCTCCACTGGCCCCTTTCCTCTTTGGATTTCGAAACGTTTCGTAGCTAAAAGAAGGTATGTAGAAAAAAGAAAGAAGAAAAGCAGCTTATTAGCATCTGAAATATACTTCAAAAGAAAATGGTAAAACACAATTAACCACCAAATGATAGGAAGTGGATAAATATGACAGTACTTTTTACCAAAACAAACTTTATATTGTGTTGTTAAAGGCTTTCAAGGCCGGAATCACTGGGTTGCTGTGAGTTTTCCGGGCTGTGTGGCCATGTTCCAGAAGCATTCTCTCCTGACATTTCACCCACATCTATGGCAGGCATCCCCAGAGGTTGTGAGGTCTGTTGGAAACTAGGCAAGTGAGATTTATATATCTGTGGAATGTCTAGAGTGGAAAAAAAGAACTCTTGTCTGCTTGAGGCAAGTGTGAATGTTGCAACTGGCCACCTTGGTTAGAAAAGCTATTGAAATCCTCAAGCATGTGACCAATTTCAACAGAAAGGAGGAAACCATAAAAATGAACAAAATCTGGCAACTAATATTTAAAATATTAGACTGTAGCCAGGAAATCAGAAGACGCTTACTTCTTGGGAGGAGAGCAATGTCCAGTCTCGATAAAATAGTGAAGAGTAGAGACATCAGACTGGCAACAAAGATCCGCCTAGTCAAAGCCATGGTATTCCCTGTAGTAACCTACGGATGTGAGAGCTGGACCTTAGGGAAGGCTGAGCGAAGGAAGATAGATGCTTTTGAGCTGTGGTGTTGGAGGAAAGTGCTGAGAGTGCCTTGGACTGCGAGAAGATCCAACCAGTCCATCCTCCAGGAAATAAAGCCCGACTGCTCACTGGAGGGAAAGATACTAGAGACAAAGTTGAAGTACTTTGGCCACATCATGAGGAGACAGGAAAGCCTAGAGAAGTCAATTATGCTGGGGAAAGTGGAAGGCAAAAGGAAGAGGGGCCGACCAAGGGCAAGATGGATGGATGGCATCCTTGAAGTGACTGGACTGACCTTGAGGGAGCTGGGTGTGGTAACGGCTGACAGGGAGCTCTGGCGTAGGCTGGTCCATGAGGTCACGAAGAGTCGGAGACGACTGAACGAATGAACAACAACAACAAAATATTTAAAAAAACTCTAAAATCAGGACAGTAAATAAAGTGTTACACCCAACAAACAGGGGAATTCCTGACATGAAACCATCAGGGCCAGCTAATATCTCCTAATAAATTATTTCCCCAGACAGGAAGCAGCCAGGCTTTGAAGCTGCAAGGCAATTCAATGCTAATCAAACTGGCCAATTGCAACATCCACACTTCCCTCAAGCAGACAAGAGTTCTTTCTCTTACCCTGGACATTCCACAGATATATAAACCTCACTTGCCTAGTTTCCTCTGAGGATGCCTGCCATAGATGTGGGTGAAACATCAGGAGAGAATGCTTCTGGAATATGGCCATACAGCCCGGAAAACTCACAGCAACCCAAGCTTTATATTCTTCAACTGGTTCTTTCACATTCTGGAAAAGTGGTTGCAATGAGCATTTTTACATACAACAGGGATTAAAATTATTTACTTACAGTTCAGTGAATTTTTTCCAGTCATCTTGACTAACCGATGGTTTTGTGTTTGCAAGTGCAGCCATTAGGTGATTCTGAGTAACGTTTACAGGTCTCTTATTTAGTAGTGACAAGCTAGGAGTGACTTCTTCCTAAAAACATATGTCCAAATAAAAGTACAATGAAAGAGATAATTAAGCTAATTTACTACTTTCCTTCATAGTTCCCTTGATTCCTTCAGCATTCTACAGAGCACTGTTTTTCTTTCCTTCAGTACTTTCACCATTGCTTAATGTTTACCTTGAAATTGTACAGTGACTCTTACAATTACTAACAATTTTCTTGGCATCTCATCCATGAGAAAAAAGAAGAATGAATTAGCTTGCCTATTTCTGAGAAAGCCTTTCTGAGAAAGCATTTGAAGCAATGTCAGACTTATGCACCATTAAGGAAAGATCTGAGACAACAACAATCTTATGTGTTTGGGGTTGGCAGGTGGCAACAAAGGACTAAAAATCAACAATTGTTATTGGTCAGCAGTTTTTGAATAGTTTCCTTTTGTGTAATTATGACTCAGTAGAAAAAATAATCTTTGTTATTAAATTTCTGCAATTATGACTTAAAAGTATACAATGAACACCTGTATAAAAGGAGAATTAGCACGTATTAATGTGTTTCTTACTCCATTTTTGCTCCTGTAGTTGGCCTTGATAGTGTTTATTTCAGCCCTGAGTTGCTCTATCTGTTCTTGACTCAGTTCTTGATAACCTTCCTGTAAAGTTGTTCTTAACAGTGGGGGTTGAGAAGATACTAAATCCTTCAAGGAGATGCTGGTTAAATCATGACTGAGGGAATTTGGTCCTGAGAAACACTGAGAACTCTGAAAAGATTAAAGAAAAACACACAAATATATACATATTATTAAGATGCAAAACACTCATTTTATACGGCACAGCACTTTAAAAGTCGTCACTACAATTGATATTTTATCCAAGGTGAGTCATCAAATAAGAAACACTTTAGGAAATGTATTGTCGAAGGCTTTCATGGCCGGAATCACTGGGTTGTTGTAGGTTTTTCCGGGCTATATGGCTTCTCATTTGGGCATATGGAATATTCGTGCCAAGTTTGGTCCAGATCCATCATTGTTTGAATCCACAGTGCTCTCTGTAGGTGAACTACAACTCCCAAACTCAAGGTCAATGCCCACCAAACCCTTCTAAGTGTTTTCTGTTGGTCATGGAAGTCCTATGTGCCAAGTTTGGTTCAATTCCATCATTGGTGGTGTTCAGAATGCTCTTTGATTGTAGGTTAACTATAAATCCCAGCAACCACAACTCCCAAATGACAAAATCACTCCTTGGGTTAGTAGGTGTCTTGTGGCTAAATTTGGTGTCAATTCATCCAGTATTTTTTGAGTTATGTTAATCCCACAAATGAACATTGCATTTTTATTTATATAGATACTTCGATTCGGGTAACAGTAAAAAGGTAGTAAAGGTTTTCCCCTGACAGTCGTGTCCGACTCTGGGAGTTGGCGCTCATTTCCATATCTAAGCTAAAGAGATGGTGTTGTCCAAAGACACTTCCAAGGTCATTGGCCGGCATGACCTTCTCGCCAGAGCAGTACCCATTGATCTACTCACGTTTGTATGTTTTTGAACTGCTAGGTTGGCAGGAGCTGGGGCTGCCAGTGGGAGCTCACCCCGCTCTCTGGATTTGAACCTGTGACTTTTTGGTCACCAAGTTCAGCAGCTCAGCAAACCCACTGCACCACCGGGGGTTCCTCGTCATCATAATCATCATCATTAAATCAGTGGAATGCATCTGTTCCGCAATGGTTTTGCTCTAGTTGGGACTAACTGATGAGATTCAGACAATTGTCTGCTTTCTTCCAAATTGCTTCTCTGATCATTTATCGTCTTGCTTGTGATCCAGTGTGACACAAAATTCCCAGAACTATCTTTTATACATGTACATATCTTCCTGGTATCCAACCCAGATGTTGGGCAAGATCGATGATAGGACTACTCCAGTGTTTTGGTCCTTGTAGTAAAACCAGATTTCACTGCTGTCCAAATCCAGCGTTTCTCTTTTTCCTTAAACACTATCCAAGCCCCCACTACATCTCTGAAAGTGAAAATATGTCAACGAAATCTCGGAGACCAACTGCCTTATGTCATCTGTGCCTTGATAAAGTAGGGGCTCCAACTCGGAGACAAATCAGGCAGCTTGAGACCTCGAATACAAACTCCAGGACTGTGTTATTTGGCCTCCGATCCATTTGCTGTTGTTGAAGTGTCAGAAAAGTTCAGCTGATGATATGCAAACATCTTTGCATTAAGCAGATGTCCCAGCATCTTATACATCGAGGGAGGGAGAGAGGTTATGAAAAACAGCACTAATTCCAAGGGACAATCTATATTGTCTACATGTGGAGGGCAGGAAACAAAGGTGGCCTTTGCTGGGACACCTCAAAGACTTGCTGACAAAAGTCAACTAACCTTTGTTTTGACACACTAGAAATACATTGCCCGACTTACCGGGCAAGGCTTGTTGTGGCGGGGGTGCCCTCCTGCCAGCCATGCTGGTGGGTGGGGGTTTCTTCCTCCCAGAAGCCCCCTGCACAGCGGCGGGAAGTTTCCCGCCACTTGTTCGACAGGTATCACCTCCGTCCTCGGGTTGGTCGGGGCTGACCGCTCCCTCCGCTCGACACTAGAGTGCAACTGGCTGAAATCTTGGAGTGTTCCTGACCAAACACGGACTAGAGCCTTGTGTCTGCAAAAAACAAACTGGCTGAGTTGTTTCAGGTTGTCGGGGAGCTCCTTCATCCTCCTGGGATGGAGGAGCCCCTCAACCACCCAACCACTCGATGCAGCAAGTTCGTGCATCATTTTGCAGATAAAGTTGCTTGGATATGCTCCGATCTGGACACCAGTTTTCTTACAGTGTCAGGTGAGGTAACTGAGGCATCTGTCAGTTCGATCTTATTGGATTGGATTCACTGATGACATGGACAGGATCCTTGGAGCGGTGAGGGCGACCACATGTGAGCTAGATCCTTGCCCATCGTGGCTTATAAAACTTGCCGGAGAAGGACTGGCCAATTGGATGTCAAAGATGATAAATGCTTCATTGGAGCTTCTACGTCCCACCTCGGAGTTTAAGATCTTCTGAGGAGGCCCTGCTCTCGGCCCCACCTTTATCACAAGTGAGACTGGTGGGGACGAGGGACAGGGCCTTCTCGGTGGTGGCCCCTCGCCTGTGGAATTCACTCCCCGGGAAATTAGGTCATCAACATCCCTCCTCTCTTTCAGAAGGAAGTTAAAAACCTGGATATGGGACCAGGCCTTTGGGTAAGCTGGCAGATGGATAAAACACAATGACGACCAGAGTAGGAAAGGACAATGACAATGCTGGATGGATTATGGATTTATGAATTGACGAACGTTGACCACAAGATGATTTTGTTGCTACTATTGTATTAATTTGACTGTTTTAATTAGTTATAACTGTTGTCGTTATATTGTATTTGTATATTGTATTTTGTGAACTGTTGGGCATTGAATTGTGCCTTTTGAAAGCCGTCCTGAGTCCCCCCTCGGGGGTTGAGAAGGGCGGGGTAGGAGCACTCCAAATAAATAAATAAATAAGGGCAAATTCCATCATGCCTAAAACAGGCAGTCATGAGACCGCTCTCAAAAAAGGTGTTTCTTGACTCGTCAATTTTGAACAACTATCGTCCAGTCTCAAATCTCCCTTTCTTGGGCAAGGTTCTGGATCGAGTGGTTGCTTCTCAGCTCCAGAGATTCCTGGACGAAACCGATTTTCTGAACCCATCGCAGTCTGGCTTCAAGCCTGGTCAAGACAGCTTTGGTCGCCTTGGTGGATGACCTCCGCAGAGAACTTGACAGGGAGATTGTGACCTTGTTGGTTCTCCTGGACATCTCAGTGGCTTTTGATACCATCAATCATGGTATCCTTCTGGGACGGCTCTCTGAAATGGGTCTTGGGGGTACTGCATTGCAGTGGCTTCGGTCCTTTCTGGAGGGCCGTACCCAGTTGGTGAAGCTGGGGGATACCTGCTCGGATCCTTGGCCTTTGACAGGTGGGGTCCTGCAAGGTTCTATTCTTTCCCCCATGCTTTTTAATATCTACATGAAATCACTCGGTGAGGTCATCCAGAGTTTTGGAGTTCGTTGTCATCTCTATGCAGATGACACACAACTCTACTACTCCTTTCCACCAATATCCAAGGAAGCCTCTCGGCTCCTGGACCAATGCCTGGCCGCTGTGAAGGGCTGGATGAGGGCTAACAGGTTGAAATTGAATCCTGGCAAGACAGTGGTCCTCCAGGTCAGTCACTCGGCTGAACAGGGTATAGGGTGGCAACCTGTGTTTGACGGGGTTACACTCCCCCTGAAGACACAGGTTCACAGTCTTGGGTTCCTCCTGGATTCAGCGCTGATGCTTAATGTGCAGGTGTCGGCGGTGGCCGGTAGAGCTTTTGCACAGTTAAGACTTGTGCGCCAGCTGCGACCATACCTCGAGAAGCCTGATTTGACCATGGTGGTCCATGCCTTAGTTACATCAAGATTAGACTACTGTAATGCACTCTATGTAGGGCTGTCCTTGAAGACGGTTCGGAAACTACAGCTGGTGCAAAGGTCGGCGGCAAGATTGTTAACTGGAGCAAGTTACAGGGAGCGGTCAACCCTCCTGTTTAAACAGCTCCACTGGCTGCTGATAAGTTTCCGGTCCCAATACAAGGTGCAAATTATCACCTATAAAGTTCTAAACTGTTCAGGACCTGCCTATCTGCATGACCGCCTCCTCCCTTACAAGCCCACGCGGTCCTTAAGATCTTCCGGGGATGCCCTTCTCTTGCTCCCGCCCCCGTCTCAGGCATGGTTGGTGGGAACAAGAGAGAGAGCATTCTCGATGGTGGCTCCCCATCTCTGGAACTCCCTCCCCAGGGAGATTAGGCTGGCACCCTCCCTAGCCACATTCTGTAAGGAATTAAAGATGTGGATGTTTCGTCGTGCTTTCGATTGACGACTCCTATGACAAACAGCCTGTATCATGACCTGAATCGTCATTTAATCTGATGTCCTATACTATATTAACTGAATTGTTTCAGATCCTGTTAATTTGCTCTGGTTCCATGATATTTCCTGTGCCATTACACATTGTTATCCACCTTACTAAACCAACTTATCCTTTAACCAGCTCACGTAGTGGTCTTCTTCTCTTATTGTTGTTGCTAGCTATTATTGTTATGTTGTTTTACGCTGTTTTATGCTGTCTTAATTGTTATTGCTTTGTTTTTAATTGTATTCTGTCTTGGGCTTGGGCCCCATGTAAGCTACCCTGATAAGAAATTAGCAACAAAAGAAAAATATACCCTTTCTCTGTAGAAAAAGAACAACACGGAAGAAAATGTTTTAAACACAAGCGGCATCACGTAGAGGTCATACAAAGTTCAAGCTTACATAGGAAGTTGGGTTGTGGTTAAGCGCAAAGGTTGTGGTTAAGCACGAAGTCTGCAGGTGCAAGAAGGTACTTTCCATCAAAAGGTCAAGGGAGGGGGCTGGAAAGAGAGTACTTTCCATGACAAAAAAAACCCTTGTATTACTTGAGTATAAAGGTCAGCAAAAACAGAGGAGGGACGGCAGTCTGTGGAAGCTCATACAGAAGTGCTGTCTGTCCACCTCATGCTGATCAGCTTGAATAAACAGTGTCTTACATGAACCAATTGGACTCTGTGGATTTCTTTGGAAAGGGACCCCGCACCCTAAAGCCTTGATCCCTTACGATGTGAGAGGAAGTCATAGGGAGGAGGGAGCAAGCTTGTTTTCTGCTTCCCTGGAGACTAGGACACGGAGCAATGGCTTCAA